TGCCTTATCGATGTGGCGAACAGCCATGAATCATTCTGTGGCATGGAAACTTGCAGTGGGATATAGCTATAGAAGACTAGATTGTAAAACGAATCTAGCACAATATCCTGAATACTAATTTACTATGCTACCAAGTACCTACTTAACTAAATGAACTGTCAAGTAGACTCGACTCGTATTGTATCAGTCGAGTACACTGATCTATTATCCATCATATGGTGTTACTAACATGTCATAATTTTACATGATATGTTCACCTGTTTTGTTAAACTCAAAGAAAGCCACCCATTAAATCTTATGTTTTCAATTTACAGCAAGTGTACATACATACTCCTTTGGTAGGAAACCACGTTTTACACTACTTTGTATCACTCTTAAGAACCTTCAAAAAATCAAATCAACAAGACTCTCAGCTTGGAGAATTTAAGGCAAGATGTATAAACATATAATTTCAAAAGATTCCATAAAAATATGATGAAATGAAAAATGTCTTAATGGTATTAAGTCATAACAGACATGTTTTGCTGGAAGTTTTGATGAATTTCTTATGTTTTGGAGAATTTTTGGAAGAACAGTAAAAACAAAAATTATTTGAATTTTTTACTTTTCATCCTAAGAAGCCTTTCTTTTAATCAGCTTCCCAATATTTTCTCTCCTTTTTTTACTAACATAAGCATAGAAGGTTGAAAAAATGGTTCTGATCTTGTTGCCTGGACAGATATCAGTAGAAAGGAATTTTTCTATAAATAAAGAAATTGAGAACTGACAATTTAAAAGATTCATCTTCTGAGTCTCAGAAGCAAATAAACTTAAAAATGATACTAAAGAAAAGGAAATTGATATAAATTAGCTAAACCATCTGCTAAATTTTCAAACTAAAAAGTTGTATAAATATTTTTTTTGTGTGTTATAGCTATAAAATGTACTCTTACAAATTTTGTACATATGTAAATAATTTTAGTGAAATTATATTTAAAACTGAAGTATCTCTTGTGTAATATAGTGTGTCAAAAATGTGAAGCTCCACAGGAAAAGAAAGATTAAAGGAGCAGGTCATTCAATATTTGAAATAAATGTCTATCTCGTGAAATTGGCAAGATAACAACAAGTTGGCAAGTAGTTTTGGTGACTAATTTTTGTCACCAAATTTGGCCCTAATTCACCAAACTTAATAACATTTTGGTATGACCCCCAGAGTAACTATAACAGGTCCCATCACTATTTAGCTGTAACCATATCTAGCCCTGAATAACTGTAAATGCATATGCCTTCCAGTAATTTCAAGAAATGTAAGGTAATGGAAATTTGTTGGTGGCCGAGGGAAAATTATATAAGACCAGAGAGAAAGCATCAGTTCTCAGTTGTTTAGTTTGATGCAATTTGCACAGCACTGGGTTTAATGTTCATAGTACTTTGAAGTGTAACTATTGATTTTGTTATGTGATACTGAAGAACTGTACAAGTATTTTTGGGAAAATTTTCAGAACTGTAGTGTTTTTTTTTTTTTTTTTTTTCAGGGCAGGATAAATTTTATCAAGCTATCATCCGTTCTTTGTGTGTACAATCCATTATGAACTCATATGCACATAAGAAAATGTTTTGTAGCTTTTAATGTGTTATTATCCTAATATTGTATTAGAATCCATATCATAAATTAAATAAGTAATTATCTGTTGTTTCAAACGGGCATTCTTTTGCAATTGGGCTAAATGTCAAACTTGGTGACCATTTTTATTTGGCGCAATTTTGTTTTTTTTTTTGTGGTTTCCTGCTGCATCTTTTCTTGTGGCGAACACAGAGCTTTATTGTGGGCATTCTGCTAGTAGCCACCTTTTCGCCCCCTTCTGCCTGGTAAGTACGTCATTTTTATTTTATTATTTTATGCATCCCTTGCTGACTATTTACTTGATTTAGAATATTGCAATCCGAGGAGAGTGCAGTTAAATTTTTAACAGAAGTGGAGTTAATTCCATCAACCGAGATAGATGCACAAAACCCAAAATGTTTAGACAAAATGAGTGTTAATAAGTATAAAACTAAAAACCTTAAATGGTAGTGGGTGTGTAAGAATAAGAATATTGCTTTGAGATGTAGTAGCGCGATGAATTCTCTGAACAACACCTTCTTTCAGAGAAACAGAATACCTTCTAGGAAAGTTCTGGCCCTTTTTTTTTTATGAAATTACATATAACGTTCATTTTTAATCATATAACTGGAGAAAAGAGAGGGAAGAAAGCAGCATTTTGTCAAAAACTATTACAGAGCATTTCAATTTTTTCAGGGAAATTTATGAAGTTAATGCTTCTCAAATAGTCGTAAATTGGAAGATAAAGAGAAAACAGTTCTTCTTGATGAGACTTTTCTAACCCGTCGGAAATATGATGGCTGAATTATAAGAGGCATGAGAATTGTTATTTTTGCTATTTATTGCAGGGAAGATAAAGAAGACTTAATTAAAGTAGACGGTAAGAGCAAGAGCACTCTATGGCCATATGTGAAATATTTTTGTAATTAGAAAGCAAGCATTATATGTACTGATTCTGCAAAAAATATGCTGGGCTGGAGAAACTTTTTTGTAACTCTCTCTATTCATAAAGCTCAAATCATAGGAAGAGGAATTAGTTTGTGCTGAAGACAGATCAAATACTATCAACCAGCTGAAAAACCAAAGCAAATTACAAATTACTGGGGGGGGGGAACCCTTGAAAAATAGAATTCCTCAGAACTCTTTACATTGCTTGATGGCTGTGTTTTCTACTGTACTGCTCACATGTACAGATGATACATATGAGCAGTACAGTTTGTTTCAGATGATAATAACACTTTTGATGAGATGACTGCCTAGGCATTGTGTTTGGTGCTCTTTTTGTTAATTAGAAGTTAAGTAATTTTGTAAATATGTTAATATTTCCTAAGATTATGTTTAAAATTTTGCCTTTTCTCCCCCCCTTTTTTAAATGAAGTACTTACCTTGAATATGTGAAAGGTATCTGTTTAGAAATAAAGAAATAGTTGATAAGTATTATTTTTCTAGTTTCGTGTTTGTATTGTATTCAGAGCTAATTTTCGTTTGACGACACGAACGTGTACGTTGCCATATGAAAAACAATGTTGTATAAGCTCACCCCACTTATGGAATATAAATCTTTTAAACTGTAATGTATTCTTAGATTGTGATTTTAATAGAATTGTTTTTTTAACAAATATTTTTTAATAAGTTGAATAGTTACTATATAAATCTCTAATGACTTATGGTATCTAACTACCTATTTAATTACGAGGGCAATCCCAAAAAAAAGGTCTCCTAGATTTTTAGATATACAAAGAACTGTTTATTTTCTATAATTGCTACATCACTTTAAAGATTGCAGAATGCTTTATTTTTCAACATAATCGCCATTTCGGTCGATGCATTTTTGTAGACACTGTGGCAGTTTTACAATGCCCATGTCATCCAGCTTGCCGCCATGCCCTTCAGGAAGCGTTGAGGAGTCAGGAGCATCCAGATGATCTCCGATCTTCACGCATTTACGAACTCAACAATCGCAAAACTCAACGAATACAAAACTCAACAATCGCGAAAGTTGAGGAACTCAACTTTCGCGATTGTTCTCGTCGGCAATGACGGCCTCCGCTCCTTTCTTCGTCAATTTCAGTACGACCGGCTGTAAACTCTCTACACCACTTGCAAACGTTTTTGTCATCCATGCACACGACTGTCCATACACTTCTGTCAATAGGCGGTGTTCAAATGGTTTAACGCCTTTTGCGTTCAAAATTGAAAACTGGCGCACTTCGCGGTAAGTTGCTCCATTTTGAATGGCTGCCAAAGCCAAGACGAGCACCGAGCGAGCTCCTGCGGTTATTCGGTAGCGGAGAAGGCACCACTCACAACAGTGTTGCCAACAACCGTATTAAAACTTTCTCAATGTCCCTAAAAAATAGGAGACCTTTTTTTTGGGATTGCCCTCGTATTTATAACTAACTTATACCCTCAGAAGTGATCTCTCTGCCTTTTAATTCTTACTGTAAACGCAGGATATAACACAAAAATGTGAGAATTAACATAAAACCTTTACACCTTGGGAGACTTAAAATAATGCAAAACCACTGGAATACCACTGGTGCATTAATGACTGATTGGAACTTTACATTATACTGACTGGGTTACAACTTCAGTAGTTGTGCACAAAGCTACATTATACTGACTGGGTTTCAACTTCAGTAGTTGTGTACGAAGCTACAAAACTAATTGGATTGGGCACACAAAGCACGACTAACTTTTAGCACTTACTGTTCCAATGTCAGGTGTTCACATCTGTTCTGATCACCACCTCTCTCTCTCTCTCTTTAAGCAAGCAACAGCCAAATTTCTGTCATGAATTGTGCTGATTATGATTTTATTTGTCATGCTAATCTATACTACATGGCATAATATTTGCATAAACATTTGGACTGAGTGAGTATATTGTGAAACAAATTATAAAAGAAAGAATCGGCATAATGCTAACTCTTTGTAAAACAAACAAAATATCAATCTCTTTAAAAATATGTCGGAAAATTATAAGTATAAAATATAAATGTTTCAAACAGTTTTTTAATTTAATGCTAATTATTTGATAAATTTTCCAAAGTTGGTTTATTCTCAAATTTGTTTTATAATTATGTTAAATAATAGATTGTATTTAATAATGCATTCTACTTGCAGATCTGTTTTATTCTTTTCTTTGAATTGTGCTGTAAAAGTGAAGTTTGGGTATAAATAATTGCTATATTTTGTTTAATTCCCATTTGCTGACAGATACTTAATTTTTTTCATTGATGTCCTCAAATGTACTTAATTTCCATGGGCAGAAATGTGTGCAAACCCTGTTATACTGTTAGGGTAAAATCTCTTGAGTAAATGCATTATATTTTTCATCTTTTTCTGTTTAAATATTTGTTAAGAAATGGTATAGTATATGGTTTTACATTAATTGAATCAAATCATTCATGCCCAGGTACTTTTGAGAAGGAAAGAAGAACTGGAACGTCAGTATGCTGATGAAACCATCACAATTCCTAAACCAGAATACTGGTAAGTTATTTAATTTCTTTATATCATTATCTATTAATACATAGCAGTTGAAATAATTTTCATCTGGAAATTAAAACTGGCACTCATATTTTAAAATTATGTAACAAATTGCAACAATACTTATAAAGACTTAGCTTTGATTCATGCACTTAGGAGTAGCACCATCTGATAGTATGGATGATAATAGTGCTATTGTGGCACCCATGAGCTTAAGATTGCACAAGTAATCTTTAGAGCAGTGGTGCCTAACCTTTGACCTCTTGTGAGCACATTTCCAAAACATCAACATTTTTGTTAAACATGTTTCCAATCTTAGGTGACACATCTGAAACATTAATTTCGGCAAATGGTTTTGAGATGAATATTAATATTGGTTGAACTTTATGGAAATCAGAGAAGCAGAGTTCAAAATTATTTTTCAGTGCATTTAGGTTTTCCGAGGTATTTCTCTGTTGTGGTTATTAATATGGCTTAATAAATTCTGAAAATGGGTGAAATTTGTTTCTTTCATCTGATTTATCCACAAATTTAACTTTATCTGAAAAGCAGTTACAGTCCCAGTCAATTGAAAAAGGGTTTTTTCTTTTCCCTGAAGATCTTCATTCATTTTGTTCAATTTAGCTGTTATATCCATGGGAAAATACAGATCGGATAACCAATTGCTATTGTCCAATTCTTTATAACTTTTGTTTCCGGATTCCCAAAACAGCTTTATTGGTGAAAGTTCTACAAATCGTTGAAGAACCTTTCTCCTGCTGAGCCATTTAATATCGGAATGAAGCAATATGATTCCACATTCGCTAACAAGTTCATCAGTCAGCAATCAATTATTTTATAATGTCTTGCAAGATATGTCTTATGACTATAAATGCTTACTATGTTTTAACAATTAAGAAAAATAAGTGAATGGTTATTTTTAAAATACATTTTGTTCATGGTACCTAATCGGCCTGGCGAGCACATACAAAACGATCAGTGAGCACAAGGTTGGGCACCGCTGCTTCGGAGGCTGAAGTTAGATTTACTCGTATAAACTGTATATTGTAATTCCGGTTCAGAAGTGGGTGTGTGAGTTTGGGTATGTGGCACCTGGTTTAATTCATTCAGTTAGTGACACTCTAAAGGGGTCTGTGATACATACATAGCCGACATGGACAGTTACCCAACAGCATGTTTAGCTGACATATGTACACTGCGAAAAAAAAGAAAAAAAGGGAGACAGTTATATATCTCCAGTTCTACTGGGCCGATTGACGAAATTCAAATTGCATTTTTCATGCCTTGAAAGCACTACTTAGGATATATATTCGATTTATATATAGCATTGTTCTAACATGGGTATTTTGACACAAAATGGACTTTTTCTGAAATAACACACGAATTTTTTTCCGTATTTAAAGAAGTACCACTGTTTTTACTTTATTTAATGCTAAAGATACAGATTTTAAAATTAGGCTGGAAAGCAACCTTATTTTGGTGTAGATTTTAAAATCAATTTTGAGAATAATCAGGTATAGGTATTTGTGTTTGGGGGGGGGGGAGAAAATTCAACAGCTGAAGGAGCAAAGCAATTTTATATCGAAAGAAATGAGTGGTGCAACACAAAAATAAATGTAATGTCATTTTTAATAAATGTAATGTGAATAGAATTTTGAAAGCATTGAAATTGAAGTCTTTAACTAAAAAAGAAAATTTTTTGTTGATTTGAAAGAGTTCGAAGAAATCCTGTGTACTAATTGAAGAAGCTGTATGGCTAATTTTTATACATCAAAAATCAAAATTATGATTAAATGTCCAATTATGATTAGTTATAAAAATTTCTTTATTTCTCCTTGCAAACATACAGTGCATGTTCTCTGAGGAAAAAAGTTTCAATGTTTTTTTTTTTCCTCAAGTTTGGCTGTCAAATTGCATCGACATGATAGGCTAAAATTTCACAGGAATTAAAATTTAAGACAGGATCTTCAAGAACTGAACAGCAAATTTTACTTATAAGTGAGAAAATGACTTTAAAGTTTAACTTATAGTTATTCCGAGCAAATTTATAACTGATAGAAAGATTTTAAAATATTACAGCAATACTCTTGCAATTATTTTTAATTGCAAAATGTGTTTTATTATGATAAGATGTACTTGAACTCCTTTTTTTTTCTTTGTTTGTGATGCATTTTTTAGTATAAATATCTATTAAAACCAGGGCTGTGGAATCAATAGGGAAAATGACCAACTCTGACTCCGACTCTTGGAATTTTAATGACTCCGACTCCCTCATATACACATGGTACATAAAATAAGCTGTAACCCGTGTGTAAACATGTACATATGGGTTACAGATTATTTTTTTAATATAAAAGAAGTAATAGATGCTACAGAAAAAAAATTGATGTCATAGCAAATTATTTATATTAGTTAGCATTTATTAGGAAATGGAAAAACTTGCATTAGTTATTTCTAAGAAACAGTATAGCTTCGGCAAGATTTTCTTTGTTGGAGGGCCATAGATCTGATTTGATAAACTTCAGAGCTGAGAAGAGTCTTTCCACACTAACTTGAGTAGGAGGAAGTTACTGTTAGAGCTACTTCTTTTAACTTTTCAAGATAGATTTTTATAAGTTCTAAAAAAGCTGTCTCACAAGAGCAATCATATTTCTCTATGTATTTTTTCATTTTTATATCTAAAGGCTCTTGTTTTTTATTTTCATTTGCTTTGCCTTAGCCTTTTCAATATTATCCAAAATTATTTCTCAAAATCTAATTTATCATTGGAAGAGAATAATAAAGATTCATTTGCAATGCATTTGCATCTGCAATTTGACTGTCCTGATTCGAATTCTCCAATTGTTCTGAGAATAATTTCATTCTTAATGAAAGTTCATAGATATGACTTTCTTTGTCTTTTTGATTTGTTCGTCATCCAAGAAAATTTGTTGTTTCGGATCTCCATATATTAAACCCAGCAAGATCTCATTGTCTACAAACTATTTCTCTTTTCTCATCAAAAATGATTCCTTCTGCACTAAAACCTCCATTTCAGAAATCTTCAGATTCCATTTTTTGTGGCTATACGGTATAGAAAGAAGTTTCATTCTGCGGATCACCAACGGTTTTTCTGTTGTGAAACATTACGGTTATCTACATCTTCTAAAAAAGTCTTAATTCTAAAACCTCTTTATCATCCAATTACTTCCTTATCATATGCTTGATCAATAATGCTTCTTTTCCCGCTCGCTTTCCTAAAAGGGTCATTTTAGGAGTTCTTGCTGCCTTGCTTTACCTAAATTTACCAATGAGTTGTAACTAAATAGTAACTAATAATCATTTAATCATTAATGGCAATACCACATCCATCCTCCTCCCTTCTATTTATTTATTTAATAGGTCAATAAATAGAATAACTATTTATTAATATATACAGTTCATAAGTAAAAATAATAACTCAGCTTGACATTAATTTTTTTTTAATTCATTTTAATTTTATTTCAAATTCAAACTGCCCAACAAAAACTGGAGTTGGAGTCAACCTGTTTTTAGAGACTCCAGCTCCGACTCCTTTTACCCCAAAATCTGCCCTATTCTGACTCCACAGCCCTGATTTAAACATGTCTAGCAAAATGTAATATTTCTTATTGTATGCTAAAGATTCATATTTATATAGCCAAGCTAAGAATTGAAACAAATGTAATATATATTAAAATTGGGCATTTGAACAGATAAAGCCCAAACTGTTTAAATAGTTAATTTTTTAAACAGGCTTGAATTTAAGATAAATATTTTAATCAGGTTTGTTAAATTTATAACAGTGAGAATAAAATAAAATTATTAAATTTATGCAACATCTATTTTTCACTATTAATATATTTTCTGTTTGTTAGAGAAGGCTGGCAGCTGCAAAATAGAGCTTTTAATTTTTTATTTTATTTTTTTTAGCAGCAAAATTTAACAGCTATAGCAGCAAAGTAAGAGGAGAACTCCATTTCTGTAAAATATCCTAAATATTATTTGAAATTCTTTATTGTTAAACATCCTATTTCACAGTATTTCTTAATGATTTCCTATAGATGGTGCTCTGTATTTTTCATTGGTAGCACATGTCTTGTATTTCATTGAATTCTTCATGGGTAACACTGACCTTGTATTTCATTAAAAATTTTATAACTTATTATGTAAAAACCCATTTGCACGAGGCCATAGAAGCATTATATTTCATCGGCTTATACTCATGTTTTGATCTCACAAACATGGTCATTATTTGATGGATGGATTTCATTTTCAGGAATTTATAATTATTCATGTAGTTTTTCATATATTGGTCCATTATTCATGGTCTAGAACTGAAGTTTTGTTACCGTCCATAAATCTTTTTTTTTTTTTTTTCCACCATACAAATTTGTTTTCCAAAATACTGTCTTTATGAACAACTATTTAAAATCAGTTTCTGCTGAGAAAGGATTTTTTGCCATGGCCAGTGATGAAGCCTTTCAAAAATGTTCCTGTTGCCATCATAAAAGATCTTCAGATATTAAAAATAAACCTAACAGTCTAGTAATGATAACATTTCGTCTCTGTATCAGTTACAAAGTTGCTCAGATTCTTCAAAATTCAATTTTCAGGTTATTTTTGCAGCTATCCTTAACAGTCATTGTTCAATTATTAAAGATGCTGTCTTTGATTTTAATTCTTGTGGAATTTTAGACTGTCATGTCAGTGTAATTTGGCACATACCAGCCAGACTAAAAAATTATTGAAATTTTTTGTCAAAGAACATGAATCATATATTTGCAAGGATAAATGAAGAAATTCTTGATAGCTAATCACAGTCGGAAACATAATCATAATTTTAACTTTTGCTCTATAAAAATTATCCACAGAGCTTCTTCAGTTAGTAAACTGTATTTCTTTGAACTCTTTGACATTAAAAAATGTTTTTCGTATTTAGTAATTGATGTTAATTTTTTAATGCTTTCAAATTTCTTATATCTTAGTTTTTCATATTTCATGTCTGTTTTCTCAACAGATCATGCTACATTTGTTTTCACTTTGTTCTGCTCATTTGTTTTTCATATAAAATCATTTCACTTCTCCAACTGCTGAAATTTTCTTTTCTTCTAAAATAGAGATACCATGTCTGATTGTTCTCGAAACTGAGTGTTGCTAACTGTAGTTGGCTAAGTGTGGGCAACAAATTGTAAAATGGCATCATTTTGTTTGATAATTGGATTGCTACAACAGCCATGATTTTGGGACTGCATAAGTGATCTTCAGCTTTGAACCAAGGTCTGCTGCATATACAATATATTGTACTTCAGAGTGAAAAGTGTAGTCGCAATTCAGAAGCCAATATGTTTATTTGTTTTACATTGCAATCGGTAATTGGTTTCCGTAATGCCACATACTGCTAATAGTGTCATTACACGCACTACAGTACAAAATGCAAAAAGAATTCTGCAAACTTGACTCCTGATTATTTAGCGTTCTGTATAACTCAATTATCACTTTCTTTTAAAATCACTGAATGATTTCTGCTGGTCAAGCAGAAATAATGTAGTGGTTTATTAATAACTAGACTGTAATAATCTCTAACATAGTAGTTACTGCAAAGACTGTGTAATCTCTAAGATAGACTTTAATAATTTCTAACTATAATATATGGTGCAAATAGAGTAAATACATTTCAATTACAATACATATTTATACGTATGAATATCCACATATTTTCTTGATCTGTTTAGAGTTTTGTTACCATATTCAGTTTTTATCCCTTTCTCTTTATGACACTATTTCCTAGAACTTTTCTAACGAATTTAGTGACAGGTTTTATAATTTCACGGAAATTGTAATCTGCCTGATTCATGATCCTTTAATAATAATAACGTGACTGAAAAAATGTTATATAGCCTCTGTCAGTCACTATTAAGGGAAATAGGCATATGTAAGATAAAAAATGTGTAAACAAAAATTCTGACTTGCAAGAGTCTTTTAACTCTTCATTTTAATTTGATTATTTTTCCTTTTCACATAAAAAAATAAATAAATAACTGTTTATAATAAATCTTTCTAAACTGATTTATTTCAAAATTAATCCATGTTATATGATTCTTGTACATTATTAACAATGCTGGTACTTAATAATAAATTTTCATTTTTTAATAATTTTAGAAAGTTATGATTAACTAGTCACAAAATACAGCTAAACTAAAAGTAAATCCTCTGAGCTGGCATATCATCTTGAGTATCTCCCTTGTTTCTCTTGCTAGCAGACAGCAGATGGAAAATCTGCAGCATCTTAAAAATGTAAAATTCAAGAATGGGCATGCTTACTACCAAATTATCAGTAATGAATCAAAAATGTTTATCAGTGAGAACAAAGAAATAATAAATTAGCCACTATGACTGCTAACATCTTTAATACTTTTACGTATATACGTAGGTTGGGGCAAAAGTCATGGCAACTATTTTTTTTTCTTGAAGATACCAGTCCGGTTGGAAAATGGGACATATACAGACGAAAGGACAAGGTCTTAACTACATTGTGGACAATGAATAGCACTGAAGTATCGTAACACATATTATTGGTAGTATACACTGGGAATATCATTCACCGTGCAAAATGATACACAATACACTAAATTATTACATGAGAACCTGGGCCTAAAACCCTCATTAGTCCCCTGCTACCTCCACCGCACGCTGCCAACGATGTGGGAGGCACTGAATACCATCAGCCTCAGCTTTGCCGCACCATGTGTGAATCAGGTCATCTGTTGGCGCAGACATATACCATGTCCTGTCGTGTTGCAAACTGCCTACCATTTGTCCTTAATCAGGGAATGAGATCAAGTCACAGGGTGTAGGTCAGAGAGTCGTGGGGGTACTTCCAACCTCATGTTGGAGTGCTGCCATGCACCTCTGCTTTATGTGGTCTTGTATCGTCGTGCAGAATTATTGCACTGTCCACAAGATCCTGACGTTTATCCCGAACGCCATGTCGTACCTGTAGCACCAGGAAGTCCCTGTAATACTGTGCAGTCACTGTTCTGCCATGAGGAACAAAGTGGCAAACAATGATTACCCTGACGTCATACGCGACGATCACCATCAATTTGACTGGTGAAGGATACTGACGGACCTTCTCCTGCCTTGGCTATCTAGGATGGTACCACTCCGCGGACTGACGTTTCAGTTCTGGTTCGTATGCTCTGGCTCAAAATTCATCGATGGCCATTATTTGTGATAAGAACTGATCGCCGTCCTGTTGCCAGCGTGGAAAGTGGTCGGAGTATATTGCATAGCGCACCCACCTTTGAATTTCCATCAGTGCATGCGGTACCCACCGCGAAGCGATTTTGCTTAGCTATCGCTCATTACGCAATATCCTGTGGACGGTGCGTTTCTCGATGCCACTTGCCCTCTCTAACTCCATAACGTCCATCATCTGTCCTTCATTCATGAGGTGCTCAATGACAGCACGTGCCAAGTCGTCCGCAATCATCGGTCGTCCCGAATGTTGCTCATCCGGTTGACACAACTCCTTGCGGAAACTTTCCTACCCACCGTGCTACTGTACGATATGGTAGGGCATTATTCCCAAGGGCTTCTACTAATTCACTGTGATATTGCATCGCATTTCTTCCTCAGAGAAGGGCTATTTTGATGTAAGCACGCTGCTCAACACTGGTTACTTCCATCTCGCACAACACTCACCAACTGATTGATTTTAGAGCCCTCGCTACCACAGAGCCATCTGTTCTGCATACACACTATGCCTGTAGATCTTCCACACGACACATATACGTTTTGTGATCCGTTTACATATCTACAAGAAAAAGACAGTTGCCATGACTTTTGCCCCAACCCTCGTATTTATTCATCAGCTGTCATGATTAAAAACTATGCCGTGAGTATCCATATTGTTTTGTATGCATGTATATATGTTTTTAAAATATATGTATACTAGAAGTGTATGCATTTTCTAGTTCCTGTTAAACTTTAAAATATTAGTGAGCATTTAAAATGTTAATATTCAGCTATCATTAGGTTATTTTTAAAAATTTCTGTTTCTATTTATGACTAAAATATGCTTTATTACATTTTAGGGGTGGGTACAAAGTCATACCAAATTCATTTGAATTTTGGTGTGGAAGGACTAATCGACTTCATGATCGTCTAAGATTTCGTAGGCCATCTCCTCAAGAAACTCCTGATGAAAAGTTGACATTCAAAGGGGAAAGTGGTTGGATTTATGAATATTTATCTCCATAGCAATATATGCTCAATTAAAATAGTTTTGTAGACATAAATTATAAATTTATGTAATTTATCAGTTCTTTGTTTAATTCTGAAAGTATTTTATTTTCACAACCATATATATGTTTTAAGTTATGAAGAATGTTATTAAATTTAGTATTTAAAATTACTAGATTTTGTCATTTTGTAATAATATGAACTTAAGAATATATTTTACCGTTTTCTAAAAATCATGATTATGAGTTTATTTTGAAAATAGTTTCCTACATTTTGGTGAAGCATGAATTAATTTTGAACCCAAGTGTGTTTTGTAAACTTTGAGTAAAAGGAATTTAATGTAAATATAATTTTTCCAGGTGTTTAATTTCCAAAATTATTGCTTGAAAATAAAGTATTATCAATTTTTTTAATATGTGAAAATAAGGGCATATATTATTCTAAAAATAGATCTACTTTGAATAATATTTATGTAAATTCTTAGTGATGATAAAAAATATGATTGTAAAAACAAATTTTATAGCTTTGCATATATACTTTTCATCATCATTACTCTATTATTGTACAGATTTTCATAGATATTTAAGTGTAAACTTAAGATAACCATGGCAGTAAACCTTAAAAGTTTGCTAAAGGAATGACAAATGCAAATTTTATACTTTTGATTGTTTTTTTACAAGTTGCAAATTTTATATAAATATGTGTTTATTTTTAGTAATTTTGTAATTATATTTTAGTGATATTTTTGTTTACTGAAGAATAATAAATAAATATGTAATATTCTGTTTTAATCTGAAGATAATAAACCTGCAGTTTTTATTTTTGTATATTTTTTAAGTTAATGCGTAATTTGACTCTTTATTTTATAGTAATATAAAAGCAAAATTTTTTTTCAATATACTATAATTATTATAAGCCTTATTTTCAAATAGCAAAGATTATTTTAATTTTTTCTGCATGCAGGAATAACATCATCTTAATGTATAATAGAAGCTCAGCAGGTGCATATACATTATGATTGTCTTTTTGGAAAACTCAAAGGATAAGTAAAGATGACAGCCAAGTATTAATAGTTTATCCTGTAAATTTTAATGTGTTTAAGTTTCTTAATTTCTATGTTTATTGATATCTACCTATAACTTCACATTATCATCAGTTTGGAGATATTTTCTAATTTGTGTTCAAGTATATTTTAATGTTTACTTGAGATCAAAAGTACAATCAGAATATTACTGGAGGCAGAGACTAGCAGAACTGCTCTTTTATGGAATTAAATTAGAACTATTTATTCACTGAATTGAATCAGTTCCTTTTTATGACTTACTGATAATAACTTTTAGCAAAAAAGCGAGAATCTAGAATAGCGAGTGAGTCTAGAATGATTAGTTGAGATGAAGCAAAGAACATAAAGAATCTGGCGAGAAGTGAGATCAGGAACAGATGAGAAGAATGAAGTGAAATGCGTATAGCCATGGGATATGAAGAATCGACTCAGTCAAATGTTAACCCTCTGAACTGATTTCTTTCAACTGTAGTTCTGCTATTCCCTAAAATCTCCTTTCTACATATAACTGACTAACAATGAGATTGTAAAATAAACAATTTTTTTTTTAAGTTAGGAAATGATAAAAATTAAACTGAGTTTTAATATAATAGGATGAAACACTTTTTTTCTCAACTTAAATGGAAATTGAATTTTCTGGCACACTTCCTACAAGAGCTCTTCGTTGGTCAACTCTAAAAGAGCTTTCTCTTTTTTTTTTCGCAAATCAGGCATTTTATCACTCAGTAAAGTGAATCAGTTTGTGAGCTAATAGCACATATGTGACTGAAGATACTGTAGTATCACCGTAACATTGATAAAGGAGAATTAACAGCCATAATGATGTGTTTACAGAGAGTGAAATTTCATCGAGTTTGCAAATATAGGATTGTTAATTCATTTCTTATTCTTAACATAAAAGTATTCTCTTCTATTATCTCCTTTCAGTTTTATAAAAAAAAATCATTTTATCATAAAAAATAAAGAGGTAACTTTAAAATCCACCTATGCTTCAAAACAGTCATAAAGTTTATGAATATGTTAGATCTTTCATTGAAAATCAAGACTGTGCTTGTTACTAGGGCAGTTAATTCAGATAGATATTTATGTATTTTAAACACATCTGAAAAGTAGTTAAAGAGAATCAATTAATAACTTCCTTTTTTCAGATATTTCAAAATTAAATGTTGTAAATAATATAAATTTTCTAGCTCTGTAAACTTAATATTTATTGATGGGTTACAGTTAAACATTATCACATATTTAGAATATATGTCAATTTTTATTGCATTTTGCTGGTTTTAATTTTAGTTGCATTAAAGCTAAACTTGCATTTGTCATTTGAATTATAAATTTTTAATTTGGAAAAAAAACTCTATTGCTGTGCAATGATATTTATTAGGTATGAGAAAAGTTCTTTTTAGATTTAAACCAAAATTCTTATTAAATTATAAGTTTTGAAAACTGGTATTTTAAACTACAGTTTTTAACTTATTACATGAAATTTAGTATTCCTCTTTTTTCTGTGTAAAATATTTGTTTAAATGTAGATACAGTCAAAAGTCGTTAATTCGGACACCTATAATCCGGACCTCATGCGCACAGGCGTTTACGAGAGCGCATAAGAACCCTTACAGCTGCGAATATGTTTGTGCGCATGCCGCGTTTAATGTGTAACGGAGTTATACGCTAAGCTAAAGTTATCTAATTCAGTTAATGTTGCAGATTGCGTGTTCCTTAATCTCGAATTGGATCCGGTTTATTATTTTTTTGCAGACTGTTAGAGCAATTTTATAAAAGTAAGCTTGAACTTTCGATTATGTCAAATAGAATTTCCGATATATATTTACTACAAGCGAAAGTATGTTTTGAAATCCGAAATCTGTTTTATCAATTTCACACTGCTCTGCTGCAGAGAGGGGGGCAGAACGTCATTATAATTATGATAGATTAGAAAGATTATGTCAAATAGAATTTCCGATATATATTACTAATATGTAATTTGTATCTACAAAGCGAAAGTATGTTTTGAAATCCGAAATCTGTTTATCATTTCACGCTGCGGATTGGAAGTTTGATCTGTCAGCACTATCCTTATCTTCAGAGCAGATGTTTTTTATTTTATTTGGTTTATAATTCCGTACTAAGTGTAGTATTTCATCTCGATATACTCCGTCTTTGATATATTTAAATCAAGTTCCTCGTCATTATAATTCGCTTCCGATAGTGAAGAAAGTGACCCAGAGGTTATTGAAAACGAAAACATTTCGATTGACAATTAGTCGGTATTCTCAACACAGCAATTATATGACTTGAACAGCGGAACTTTGTAACTAAACAAGAAATTATGTCTGTTTAATAGAATTAAGAGAAAGTATTATCACATGAAAAAGCAACTTACATTGAAGGAAATGTTTAATAAAGTAAACAAATAAATATTAAGCTTTTTCTTTTTGTAAATTTTGATATCCTTTAGATCATAATTGTTTCTTTATTTCATAAATTACGGTTTCATTTTTTTTTTGTAATTTCTGCATGACATCTTACCAGATTTAAACTGATGATCTATAATCCGGAAAAATCGATTGTTACAGAATTGGTAGGGTGGATTTTTCTTTAGGATTTTAGGCATTGCAGCTTGGAAAGTTAGAAGGATTTGAAGGCAAGATTTGTAGACCCACGATTCTAGAAGATACGGGAAATATGTGACAAAATGAAAAATATCTGCATTGTATCAACATGCAATAGATGTAAAGTCCCGACGAGTCCGGATTAATGACTTTTGACTGTAGCTTGTGTTCTGGAGGTACGTCTTTAATTAAGTGCACATTGCATCTATTCATTGTATTTAGTTTCTAAAAATTCAAGAACATGCATTCCATTTGTTATTTTCATCTGTATATGAGTTACATCAAAGTAAAAATAGTTTTTATGTCAGATGTTTTATTTAAATTAATGCCAGGAAATTGATATATCCTGACTTTAGAATTTGGAAGAAAAGCACCTACTAACCAAAAAAAAAAAAAAAAAAAAAAGCTGTCATGATGGATATTTGGGATGGTTTATTTTATGATATGATGTATGATAGATTTCATTGCTGATGGATATGGCTACTGTATGCTGTATTGAAATTTTAGTCTTTCATTTATTTAATATAATTCTGGAGATTTGAGTGCTGAGGCGTATTTTTAATTCTTATATTTCAAATAGTGCATTCATGTCTATGTTTTGTATGCAGTGCTTGCGAAGTGCATCGTCTTTCACAAATAGTCATGAAAATTTCAAATTTAAATTAGGAGTTTAGGCAAAATCTTCAACTTTCACATTTTTTAACACGGTATTTAATCTTCTTTAGGCATACAAAAAGTTGTTCAGAAGCTCATAGCTATCATAAATCTGTATTGATTGAGCAAAATGAAATCCTTTATGAGATTTCTTAAATATACTGCTGTAAAAATGTAAATATTCAAAGTTTGAAGAAAAATCTGATGACATTTTATTAGAGTAAGTGATTTTAAAATGTTTTTGTTTGCTTAAAATAACATAAAAAAATTTTTTATTATTATTTTTATTTTGTTATATTTTGGAACATTTAACCCATTAATTGCCAAAACTACAAGGAATGTTTCTTTTTTCATGAAAATAATAACAAATATTAAATTAAGCATTTATAACATAAATTTACATTGAAAATTTAAAAAATGCTCTTACTTGTGGAAAAAGCGAGTGTTGCGTTCGCACAACGTCAGCGAAATAAGATTACGGATGTTTAGTGAGTAGGATTGTACTCGTGTGATGTTTCTTTTGAGTGGAGTGCAGGATTACTTTTTTAGCGCTGTATAACGTTTTATAAATCTGCAAATCACTTTACATGTAATTAATTTAATATTAAAATATACATTGTATTTCTTTTACGAATACAGATTATTTCAACTGAAAGATTCAAGCATGAAAAGCTTGATTACAATCATGATGTAAAGCTACATTACATACTTTGCTACTCTTTATAAAAAAATTCTTTTGTTATCAACGGACTTTATGATAAAATGTCTACCATCTCCATGCAATGGTTTTTGAATGCTGAATTTACTAGGTCTTCCTGTTGCTGATATATTTCTGGCTAATTCTACACTCTCAATAGGAGTTCACAAAAGGAATAATGCATTCTCGTGTCTGAAATCTAAAAGAGACTTTTTATTTCCAGTAGTAGAAAGTCGTGATATTTGGTATCTTTAGATACGGTCTCACCTTATATAGTTTATAAATGTTTTCAGCTACTATTTTCAGCTAAATGCAAATTCTGCTTCATATTCCTGTACTAGAAAAGTGATATTGATTCTCGTACAATAGGAACAGAAATGTCCTTATCAAGAGTCCAATACATTTCTTCTTGAGGTAAAGAAAGATACCCCGTAAGAAATAATATTCCAATAAATCTTCTCATATAGGCTTCAAATGTAATAAATTCTGGGCTCCTCCTCTCTCTCTCTCTCTCTTTTTTTTTTTTTTTGTTTCTGAGCTTCTATATTGTCTGTTCAACAAGAAGAGAGTAAATGTATAAACCAAAAAAAAAAAAAAAAAAATCGAAAATCGTGCACTAGTTACCTTGTATTTGTCTTTTATAATTTCTCTTCTATCTCTTTCTTCATGTCTTCCTGAGACATTACTAATAGTTCCTTTTTATCCACTTCAAGATTTCATCTTCTGCTTTTTAAACTTTTAGTATGACTATACTGCTTTTAGAAGGCTGAAACTTACTTCTTATGTGAATTTTAACTTCCCCAGCAGTATCATTTGGTAAAATATCATTATCATTATTTAAAACATTGTCATTCCTTTCTTCTTTGTCACTAACTTCTGCAATTTCTGGGGGAACAACAACAATATCAGTTTCATTCTGGTCATTATTAACATTATAATCATCTGTTTTTTCGTCAAAAAATCTTTGAAGGGCTTCTTCTAATGTAAAATACCTCGTTCTAAGCATTTTTAAATAACCAGAACATCGAAAGGAATGAGTGAAAAATAGATTGACTACCCGTTTCTTGCTGACATTGCATAAGCGCAACACCTGTTTTCCCTTCCTTCCCAACACAAATATAAACATCTGACTGATGTAATGTTCTGATAAACGGTGACCTTGACTAAAAATATATCACTCATAAAGATGCCAATTCTTTCGTTAAATATTTTCAGCAAAAATACCCAGTCGAAAATTTTGCTTTACAGTATGAGATTAATTATTATAAACAAAATAATTGTTGAAGCCAAATATTTCTTTACAGAAATAATCTTCATAATATTCCCTACACAAAATCATCTGCTGGTATAAAATATCTTAGGTAGTTATATTTATATACCCATTTATTTTGACCGTTGCGTGAACGCAACACCAGCGGCTAATGGGTTAAGAAAGAATTAATTAGATATGTTTTCAACTGTAAATATTTTTATATTATTATTTTTTTCATTGGTTTTATTGTACCTCAACTAAGCTAAAGTATGAAATTCTGGAAATGTTTGCTCTGTTAGTAAAACATTCATAAAATACCTTCTTATAATCAGTATCTTTTTTTCGTATCCTCACACCTTTTAAATGTTCCAGGCTTCCCTTTGTCATCATTGTTTCTTTCGTGTAAAGTGATTGAAATCTGTCTTCCATGGTATTTTAAAAGTCTTCCAATGGAGTAGATATGTACAAATACATATATATTGAGAGCATAATATGATTATATTTTGTATTATGTAGATAATATGTTACTGGAGCAGTGGATACTCCTTAAAGTAATTTTACTTTAATGTCTAATAATGAAAATCATCCATCTGATGTATTTTTCTAAATATTTTTTCAAACTTTAGCATTTACAAAAGCTATTTTCTGTAAAATAACTTAAAATATTTTTCATGCTAATAACATACTGTGAGCTATGAAATAAAATGAAAAGTAACATTGAGTACACATTGTTGAAGCAATAGATTTTATGTTTAAAAACAACTTCAATTTCTTGTAAGAAAAGGGTCTTTCCTTTTGTATGTATTATCAGAAACATATAAGGAGAGAATTTAGTACATCTGACATTCAAGTTCAAGTTCCTAGTTAATATCTGAAAGCTATCATAAACTATAATCTTTGTGGTGTATAAGTAAATGTAATATGATTTTATATAATAATAATAGATACATATGTGTCTATTAATTAAATGAGAATTATATATACTATAAACTAAGCCTAAACACTAATCAATAGAAAATTCATACAGACATTTTTCTCTTTTGAAAAGAATAATGTTATCTAATGGAACCACACATTTATTATTCAATTAAAATTAAAGGAAAAAAATTTACAGAGCTCCTGCTGAATTTTCTTACCGTTAGTTTTGGTTCCTTATATAGATTGTTCCCATTAGTGGCTGAGTGGTTAAGACCACTGAATTCGGGTAGTTTGTGCTCAGTTGAATAGTCTGACTGCTTGGTTAGTTTTCTAGATTTTCCATATGTACAGTGTGAATACAAGTAGGTTGCCTTAGAAAGTACTCCAGGGAGGTATCCCTTTCCTTAGGCAGATACTCCCCATATGTTTTGCCATATTCAA